CAAATAGGGGAGGGATCAGTATAGGTGAATCGGTGGTACTATTCCCCTACTTCATGTGTGAGTACTGTTGATAGAAGCTTAATAGATGGTGGTAGTAGAAGGGAAGGAAGATGAAGACAGTTAACAATGTTTGGCTTGGTCTTTCACCTATATTGTCGGTCAGATGACGTATTGTCAAGGTCGCCTCCATCCACTACCACGATCATCACTACCACAACCATCACAATCAATACACTGTTCAATTATCAAAACATATTTCGAAGTAATGAGCAACATTTAATAATTTCATGTCCACATACTCGATGACAATGTTATTTTGTCCTGCATTTTTGAATTTAAATCCAGTATGTTCAATATGACATTTTGATACTTCACCTATTGATAAATGAAAGGAATCACGGAAGTATGTTGTACAGCAAGTTCGCATAAATTGTTTCGAACAGAAGAAAAGCGTAGTACTTTTATGTTCAACATATATTTTTGAAAAGAAAAATCACTTGAAGCAATTGTCAACAACACTGAATTAGCAATCCAGAAATAAAATGGCTAAAATTGATGAATCCTATGCATCAGACCCCAAATATCTTTTGCCTCAAATCCAAGATCCTATCCAGATTGAATAAAGTAATCGGATAGAAGAGTATAAAACCCTAGAATAATAGAAGTAAGATTAGATAAAAGAATGGTTCTCGAACATTGCTCAAAATAACGGATCAAAACAGAACAGGAGAGATAAGAGAAAAATCGGCAAAAAAAGGAAAAAAAAACGACAATATCAAAAGATCAACTAATAATGTGGCATCTTGAACCTTTCGACTTGAAACATCTCCTAAATTCTTTCGAAATCTATGATACATAATAAATAAAAGAAATAATAAACTCCTGAATTTAAGCAAAAACGATTCACTGAGAATAACTAACATGCAAGTTGTGTTGATACAAACTTTAAAAAATGTGGGCTTACAATCGGAGTGAATTTACAAGACGTCGTGTTCATTTGAACAAACACATATTTATATTATCGTAAATAATGAAGAGTAACGTCATAAACAGAATTCCATTATCACGAAACACTTCTGTTTATGACAGTAATATATAAAAAACAAATCTGTTTACAAAACATACAAATATTCATAAATTTCCCAGAACTCCTGCCACTTCAAATTTCTAGGCTTGCTAGCAAACCAAAAAGAAAATATTATCTATAAAATTCAAGCTATATACTTTTCTGCAATAGTATTATACTTATTAAATAAGTCTATGTCTGGATATACCTGCTTAAAACTTAAAAACAAAGACAAGCTAGACTGTAGCATAAAAAAGTATAATAAACTAAAAAAATGTAAAAGCAGTCGATAAAAAATGACAACTTATTTCAATAATATAATATATACAGGTTTATGAAAATTGGGCGGTGATTTACAGGACGCCATAAAGACTTCTATCGTGGTTGCCATCGCAAAAGTCGAGGTCGTAACAACAAACGTGGTTTTTTCGCAACACCTGTTTTCCAGCAGTGTAGGAGAAATCGTTGCGTGACATACAATACATGATCACCTTTCCAGTACCGTGTCAACTTAAGAGAGTGAAGTGTTTCTAAAGAATACTATGTAAGCGAATTAAATTGGTCAGAAAAGAAACATCAAATGATTTTTTCCTAGATAACCACTACTACCACGCTATCACTTTAATGCGTCTCTTAAAGTTGTTCGACGAACACTTAACAAGTTGAACAAGGATTCAGAAGGTTAGTGATTTAAATATTAATTTGATATAATTAAAAACTAATGATAATTTCTTCTAGAATTTAATAACTTACCAATAATATCATTTACATGAATGGCTGTTCTCCGGCTTAAATCTGTTATCGAAATTTTTGAACAGGATCTTAACACTTCCAGAACCGCCCATGACCAATAAGATCGATAACTCAGTTTGCCTAAATCGCTTAGTGGTTTTTCAGGCGAACCAATCAAGCCCTCTCGTTTCGAAATTTCGTAGCCTGAAATTAAGTCAAATACAAGCTTATCTGAATTCCAGAATTAACACCACTATATAGTCGTTTAAATGTTTTAAACTCACTCAGCTGGATAAGGAACTTCCCGTAACCACTTCGCTGAAAAGGAGGAAGTATACAGATACAAGCAAGATTATTTCCATCAGGATTACCTTGCTCCTTTGAAAAATAACCCACCATTTGAGCTCCTCGACTATCCACCTGTAATACAATAGATAAGAAATAAAATAATGCATAAAAATGCCACAAGAAATTATGTCATATAATCAAAAAAATCTGTTATATGAAATTTTGAAATTTAATGTTTTACGATTATTATAGAGAAACAAACAACGGCAAGATATTCTAAACGAACCTTACACAATACGTAGAACAGGAAAGGTTCGACATCGAAATAAAGCGTTTTGTGATCCAGAAATAACTTCGCCAGAAGACACAAGCACTGACAATATACCTAAAAACAACTAATAAAAAAAATGCAAACAAAATTAATTCCTCAGGGAAATTATAGCTAAGCAAAGATAAAAGATGTATTCACAGCAAAAAACAAATAAAACTTTACCTTGTCGTTACTTCCGAGGACTTCGTAAACCGACATTGATTTTTCTTTATAAATTTCAACACCCGGTGGTTCTTTTCTTCGACATTCAAGCAAATGAATGCGATAGCTTCGTTCGAACTTCATGTACCGCATGCAGTACTGGCATATGTAAAGGCTATGTGCTTTCCCATAATCATCCGGGTAAGGCGAAAAATACCACGTATCGATTTCATAATTCCCGTATCTGATGCGTTCAATATGTTTCACTCTAGTAACCTTAACATCAAAATCAAGTTTTCATGCGATTGTGAAAAAGTGTAAGACAATTATGCATCATGCAAGTCTCAGGAATGAATCTAATTTAAAATTTCGATTAATTTTGAACCTGAAGTCTATAGAACCACAGTGATTTATGTCTATAAATACAAAAATCGAACTTAACTTATATTTAGTTTCGATTGGAAAGTAAATCAATCTCTTAGGTCAAGCTAAGCATTGTTATCAGCATAACTGGCCAACCTCTTCGTGTTCTTTCTCAAGTGCTGTCTTTGCATCCATTGTACTGGAATGTGGATTAGGAGATTCGATCATCTCGATGTGCTTCCTCTTCCGTACTCTTGTTATCTTCTTCCGATCTTCATCGACTGGTGTCTGGAATACAAAGTTTATCAACTCCTAATTAAAGTTGTTGAATATTTTTAAAAAAGTGTTTTTTGTTCACAATAAATTTGCGGTATTCCATGATATGATTCCAAAGAACCTCCCGCAAGACCATCACGAAATTTTATTTTGGATTCGACCAAAAACATGCAGACATCCACGTTTAAAAGCGTTTTGTAAACAGATTTCATGCCCTCCCTATCCTTTTCTTTGTCATCTTTTTTCATTACTTACATTTGTTTGGGCAAGAACCTTCTGAATTTGACTACGTTGTGCCCATTCATCAAGACGTCGATCTGTCCCTTCGTAATGCACATAATACTCATTCCCTGTTCCTCTTTCTGCTGGTCTTTTATCTATAATAACAGCACGTCGTCGTCTAGCATTTCCATGACGCAAAACCATACATATTTCTCCCAACGCTAATTGATCATTTGAATTTGACTGAGCTTCTGAAACTTCGTTCTTTGCTGAATTACGATCACATTGTCCTAAATCCATTACTAAAGCTAATTTTTTAAATCATGTAAATATCAGAAGCGGTAAAGAAAATGCATGAAATGAATAATGCTTCCATATATTAAAATGGTAATGTTGCTCGACGTTATTTAACATTAATCAACTTCATCTCCAATATACGTGCTGAAATGGATCAGCGAAACTACAACAAATGAGAAGTATTAAATGTTCAAACACATGAAAATACCTCTGTGGATGATGCCATTACGTCGAAGATAACGATGTTGCCGTGTTGTGATGTACTCACGCTCATAAAGAGCTGAGCCAACGTTGCTTCGGCTATGGCTTGTTATGGTGGTCCTGCTTCTACACGCCGCCGATACCCTGAAAGTAATACTTTATTAATTCCACCATGCAATCTATCAGATCACAGGTCACAACAATCCCCCACCCCAACTATCGCCCCTAGCAAACGGACGAGTCCGAACTTTACATTCCTTCGTTTGCACGAATTTCCACTCTCTATGCAACACCTTTGCAAAATGATTAATGTTAGGCAGAAGTGGGCAAACGCTTTTATGTGATGGGGAAAGGCGGGGGATGGTGACGACGGGGGGAGTTATGTAGATAGGTAAGGCTTGTTGAAATATCCTATTCCCGATTTGGCTCTAATTTCCGGATTTGGTGAAGTGATCGTGTAAATTGTTACCGTTATTATTAAATATATTCACATGAAATTAGAGCTGATTATTGGGTCAACTGATAAGATTTTGTGGGGGAAGTGTAGTGCTAGTAGAATTCTCATTTAGAATCGTTTTTCTTAGCAGTATTTTTGGAATAGCCGCATGTATTAGTGTTAGTCTTTCGAGATGAAATGATGAGAGTACATAAACGACTGCATGATGGCTGACAGACTTCATATTCACTCTAGAAATCGACTGTTTCAGGTCCAAGTATCCTTATGGAATTTGGTGGAAGAAACTAACGTGTTGATCTTTAATTTGTACTAACTGATAAATTCTCTGTACGTATTTAATATTTTGTCCATTATTGTATTTAGCTTAACATAATTGTTATCATTTAAAATATTTATGATGAAATGATCGAACCTTGACTCAATTCTTAGTTATATCTAAGCCTTTAATGTTCAAAGTAAGGTTTTGCATGTTGCTGCTACATCTTTATTCGGTCAAGTGCCATATTTATGCCTGATATAACTCATGGCAGGGAAATCTTGGTCAAATGATATTCTATGTCAAGCATTATTCCTTCAGTATTATTAGTCCTTAACCATTTTCGAGACTCTTTGCAGATTACTGAAAAATGGATGATGGAACAATGTTCGAAGTTCGAATAAACGGTGAAATTAACGGAGATGCAGCTTGTTTGGCAAAGTTGCAGAATACAGCGGAAAGCATTTCTACTCCTTCTACACCAGGAGTTGAAAGCAGCAGTAGTCTTTCCGATACAACAATCGCGTTAATACGGAAGGAACTTGAACATGAAAACTTAATAATCAAACCGAAGATAAATGATCAAAGTCATGTTGAGAATTTTGTTAAATGTATGAACTGATGATTTTCTTTACATATATGGGGTTAACTAAGTATGGTTAATAAGAGCTCTTTAACTGTGTTATGCAATATCATGAACTTTTCGCTAAAAGTTGTTTCTAGTATTTACTTTTGTTGTTAATGGAGTTAGGTCTTTTTTTTCTTCAGCTAAAAAATTAGAGCATCAATTACACTGCTGGATGGTTGTTAAAGGATCGAAATTGGCAAACAGTTTTTTTTTCAGCTAGTGATCAAACTTCGGATTCACGGGACTCGAGTGATTCGAGGCGAAAGTTTCGTGTTCTTGGATTAACTTTTCCTGGAAAATGGATGACAAGTGAAAAGTTTTGGGATTTGCTTGAAAAAAGCGAATCGTTTCATATGTGGTTTGATAAAACCACAAAAGGTTTGTGGGCTTGTTCATGTTCGCAATGTTTTTTCGATTACTGAAAAATTAAACATTAGAGTATCCAAACGAGTTTACTGAAAAATCAATCGATGAATTTACACGTAATAATTTTAATTGTTAATACAGATGGTACTAAATATGGTGGTCTGAGCGCTGTTTATGAAACACCGGAAGAAGCAAAGCTAGCATTTGCTGCATTTCACAAAATGACATTTGATGGGAATCCACTGAAGTTGCAAGCGTCTAAACTTTTCTGTACGTTTTTTTGTCCAAATATTTTTATGAATTTTGAAAGTAAAAGATTTTCGTAATGATATGGCCGTCCCATTCATTCGTTTTGAATCACTGAGTAATATTTTAGATGATCCGGTACCGAATTCGCGAACCGTGCAACCACCCATGCCATTCAAAATAAATCTCTCAGATCCCGATGCTTCAAGGCGACTCTATGCTCTTCATTTGTCTTCAGCTACTGATCAGACCTTACTGTCATCAATATTCGGCAGCGAATGCATCGAAACAGTACAGTTGGAGGCCGATCCATTCATAGCATCTGAAAAGCAAGCTGAGGTTATTATTTCGTTGAAATAAAATTAGGATTGTTTTGAGATAAACGGAAAGAAAAAAGATTCATCAAGCTTTGATAGAAGCGGTCGAATATGCACAGTGCCTGCAGAGTGACTTATTTCTATTATTGCAATTGTTGATTGTTATAGATTGTATTCCATACCGTACAAGAAGCGAATGATGCCCGAATGGAGTTAGCAGATGGATTTGAGATTGATGAAGGCGATCGTCAGCTTACTATGAGGTTTTCTGTGTCAAGAAATAATAATTCTATATTTATTAATTGTCCGTTAATGAACTGTAATTATCTTCTATTTGCAAATTTCTTCTACATTTTTATTCAGTGGTAACGGTTGGATTTACGTGATGTATAGATTTTTACTTGTATCGGTAGTCTCTTATGAGCTATATCCTTAAAAAGGAATAGCATTTTAAACCAAGTGTCAAGACAACTACTTTACATAATTGTTGTCATTAGAGTAGGTTAGAAATCTAATGAGTGGTAGTGAAGGTTTTTTATTTAGAGTTTAGTATCTCAAATCATGGTGAAAACATCATGAACGTGATTGGCGGTTTCAGACTGCTGACGATGGATGAATATATTTCATACATGAAAACAGAAAATGATAAAATTTTCAATGCTCGAGTTGTACCTGTGAGCGCTTCTTTAGCTCCATCTTCATCGTCTTCCCAACCATCACCCTCAGTATCGTCGACAGCAATTGCAAGTGCTTCAGAGACTGCTGTAGTACCATTTA